TCCGTTCGACGTTTATCGTGTTTGTCTCGTCAATGCGGATCGAATGATATGCAGCATGACCTATTTCGGTAAGGTCATGACCTTGACCTGAGGTCAAATTTTCAAAATGACCTTTCGAGGTCAAACTATATATCATTCGACGCGTCTCGACGAGCCAAGCACGATGGTGCATGAATCGTTTCTCTATTTTCTCGTGAATGCATGCTATAGTTAAAAACATTTTCAAAGAAATTTGCCAAGTTGACCTTGCATGACCTCTGTAGGCCAAACCGTTGAGCTGAGGTCAAATCTGACGAACCTTGGCGAAAGAGCTTGAAAAGAGCTATCGATTGCTTTTTTCCGCGGCTCTCTAGCTCTTCTAGTTTCCGAGCTACAGCGGAATATGTCCGGCAACACCGAAAACACTGAAATTTGACCTATGATGACCTCTAGCGACCTCAATATTGACCTTAGCGAAAAAATGACCGAAATACTTTCGAACGTACTTGTTATGGGCTTTCGTTTGCTTTTTTCCGCGTCTTCCTAGCCCTCTTCGTTTTCGAGTTAGACGGGGGGGGGGTCATTTTGGCCCCCCCCACCAGGGCGAAGGTGGCTCAGACCCACACCAGGGCGCGGGTTAAAAGCTCTCATGTCCAGATCACGCATGCTTGGAGGCAGTCGATTAAAAGCCGTTGCTGCAGCGAAAAGGAATCGTCTCCTCCCGGACTCAGACTTTATCATGGGAACATGTAACATGTCGTCCTGCCTCGTAGCTCTTTGGTGTACATGCCGTCTTCGCACAAGATTCTCCGAGAGCAACTCGGGCTGAGCCGTAACCAGCGTGCGTTTTAAGAGCGTCAGCACATGGTACGTATACATGTTGTGCGCCGATAGCCACTCTAAGTCACGCAACACGTCACTCACATGGTCAAACTTCCGTCGCCCCGATATAACACGTGCAGCAAAATTCAACACTTTCTGTAGCCGTGAGGTTTGGGTGACATTGCACGTTCCGTAAACACTAATACAGTAACGAATGAGTGAAATGACTAGACCCTGGACTAGAGTGATGAGTGTCGAATGAGGTAAACTATGTTTGCTGTGACTCAGACCCGTTAAAATGCCAGTACATCGACGGACAACATCATCAATGTGGGCAGAGAACGTCATGCATGGATCAAATATGACACCCAGGTTCCGCACCTCGGGAGAGCCGGAGACAGTGGCGCCCATAAATTTGATGCTAACTGTTGAGAGCTGCCGAAGATTTTGACGGGTGCCGAGAGCTATGAGTTGTGTTTTTTTAGCATTGATTTTCATCCCATTCTTGCCAAACCAGTTTGACAGCTGTGCCAAATTACGTTCCATGGATCCGGTCAGGGCGTCAATGTCTCCGGGTCTCCCGCTAACAAGAACCTGAGTATCGTCCGCATACTGTACAAGTACAAGTACATCAGCCGTTAACGGTTTTTGTTAGGAAAGCAGAAAACAGCCGAAATATCAGACAACTACAAGTACATCATAAAAATTAACGATGTTTATTGTTCTTAATACACCCTGGTTTATTGGCTATAGAAAATAAATGTTGGAAAATGTTGGATATATATTTACAAAATATACCTACCACTAACACCCAGCGACGGACATCTCTCACCTTGGCATATATCCACAAAATATAGCACTATAAACTCCCCACGAGGGACGTCTCACTCCTTAAATGATGCGGCGGTTTCTACGGAACATTTCTCATAAAACTTGCTTCCCACGAGTGACACCTCTCACAGTGACATATATGTTCAAAAATATGAAACTTCCAACTCCCTACGAGGGACTTCTCTCACCATTAGGTGCACATATTTACAAAATGTAACACTTCGCCCTAAATTTGAATTTTGAGCCCGACCCAGCGTCTCGGAAAGCGTCAGCCGACAGCCGTTAACGGTTTTTGTTAGGAAAGCAGAAAACAGCCGAAATATCAGACAACTACAAGTACATCATAAAAATTAACGATGTTTATTGTTCTTAATACACCCTGGTTTATTGGCTATAGAAAATAAATGTTGGATTTAGAAGAAAAAATACAGATAGGTTCAAGTCTTATAACTATAAGAATGTTATAATACTATAATAATAAAATAACTTTATCATCAAGCTATAAGATTAGGAACATGGCCATGGGAGCTATTCAGAGACTAGAGCTGCAGCATTTCTACATATCCCATAACTGACACCATACTCATGAAGTCGGAGGGCGCCTTCTGACCAGAAGCACGCCAGTGAGCCGGGAGGGCGCCCTCTGATCAGAAGCACGTCAGTGTGTCGGTGGGGCGACCTCTGATAACAAGTACCTCACCGGTGAGTCGGAAGGGCGCCTTACGATCAGAAGCACGCCAGTGGGTCAGGAGGGAGCCTTACGATCAGAAGCACGCCGGTGAGTGGAGAGGGCGCCTTCTGAACAGAACCATGCCGGTAAGTCGAGAGGGCGCCCTCTGAGGAGATGCATTCCAAATAGCCGTGAGGGCGCCTTCTGATAAGAAGCATGCTAGTGAGTTGGAGGGCGCCTTCTGGTCAGAAGCACGTCAGTGAGCCGGGAGGGCGCCCTCTGATCAGAAGGACACCAGTGAGCCGGGAAGGTGCCATCATCTAGGAGAGCGCCGCTATCGACTGGAGGAGCGCAAACACTGGACAGAGGGGCGCCGCCATAATCTAGGAGCGCGCCGTTATCGACTGGAGGAGCGCCAACACTGGACAGAGGGGCGCCACCATCGTCTAGGAGGGCACCGCTATCACTGAAGGAGCGCCAAGACTGGACAAAGGGGCGTCGCCGTCATCATCTAGGAGCTCGTCGCTGTCGACTGGAGGGGCGCCAACACTGGACAGAGGGGCGCCCCATCATCTAGAAGCGCGCCGCTATCGACTGGAGGGGCGCCAACTCTGGACAGAGGGGCGCCGCCATCATCTAGGAGCGCACCACTATCGACTGGAGGGGCGCCAACACTGGACAGAAGGGCGCCACCTTCGTCTAGGAGGGCACCCTATCTCTGCAGGAGTGCCAAGACTGGACAGAGGGTTCGCCGTCATCATCTAGGAGCTCGTCGCTGTCAACTGGAGGGGCGCCAACACTGGACAGAGGGGCGCCCCATCATCTAGGAGCGCGTTGCTATCGACTGGAGGAGCGCTAACTCTGGACAGAGGGGCGCCGCCATCATCTAGAAGCGCGCCGCTACCGACTGTAGGAGCGCCAACTCTGGACAGAGGGGCGCCGCCATCATCTAGGAGCGCACCGCTATCGACTGGAGGGGCGCCAACACTGGACAGAGGGGCGCCACCATCGTCTAGGAGGGCGCCGTTATCACCAGAGGAGCCGGAGCGCCAACACTGGACAGAAGGGCGCCACCATCATCTAGGAGGGCACCGCTATCACTGGAGGAGCACCAAGACTGGACAGAGGGTTCGCTGTCATCATCTAGGAGCTCGTCGCTGTCGACTGGAGGGGCGCCAACACAGGACAGAGGGGCGCCACCATCATCTAGGAGCGCGACACTGTCGACTGGAGGGGCGCCAATACTGGACAGAGGGGCGCCGCCATAATCTAGGAGCGCGCTGCTATCGACTGGAGGAGCGCTAACTCTGGACAGAGGGGCGCCGCCATCATCTACATAAGAGCGCGACACTGTCGACTGGAGGGGCGCCAACACTGGACAGAGGGGCGCCACCTGCACCATCATCTAGGAGCGCGACGCTATCGATTGGAGGGGCGCCAATACTGGACAAAGGGGCGCCACCGGCCCACCATATCGTCTAGGAGGGCGCCACTATCACCAGAGGAGCGCCAATACTGGACAGAGGGGCTTCGCCATCAACTAGAAGCGCGCCGCTATCGACTGGAGGAGCGCCAACACTGGACAGAGGGGCGCCAGTCACTGAGGGCGCCGGGGACGATGAGCCAAAGGGACAGGGCATGCACGGAATGTCCTGTATGTGCGTACGCCACTGGCTACAGCTCTGTGTGGCGAATCGCTAGAAAGGACCTTGGACTTACGCCCTATAAATTTACTATTCATCACAAGTTGACATCAAGCGATCAAGAGCAGCGGTCTAGCTTTGCCAGATGGTTTTCTGAAAAGTGCACATCCGATCCAGCCTTTCTGGAGAACATTTGGTTCAGTGATGAAGCGCACTTTCACCTTGATGGCTACGTGAACACCCAGAACTGCAGGATTTGGGCCGCTGAGCGACCTGATATCGTGATGGAAAAGCCACTCCACAGCCAAAAGGTCACGGCGTGGTGCGCTTTCAGCGCCAAAGGCATCATCGGACCCATTTGGTTCCAGAACCAAGACGGATCGACAGCCACCATCACCAAAGAGCGGTACACAACAACGCTCAATCGCTTCTGGAAACGCTTACAAGCTCAACACCAGACACAGCTAAACTTCTTCTGGTTCCAGCAGGACGGTGCGACGCCTCACACCTCCAACATCGCCCTCGAGTGGCTGGAGACGCACTTCTGTGCCCGCGTGATCAGCCGGAAAACGGCGCACCCCTGGCCGGCGCACTCCCCGGATCTAACGCCGCTCGACTTCTACCTCTGGGAGTATCTGAAGAGCCGCGTCTACCAAGGCAGCCCCCAAAACCTCTCAGATCTAAAGGCTGCCATCGGGCGTGAAGTCCGCAGGATTCCTCTTGCCACCTGCGCCCGAGTGGTAGCAGAAGTCAAGCACAGGGCTGATCTGTGCCTGTCGCGAAATGGACGCTATCTGGAGCACGTGCTCCACTGACTGCACCTGTCACGTTATGCCATGCTGGCTGCTTCCAAACAAATCTCCATGAAATGCTGCTCCTTTTGATGCAATAAACATGTGTCTGCGTTACCAAGTTTTTAAATAATTCAGAAAACAAATGTGGGACACTTTTCTGAATCACCCGCTTATCACTCTGGTGCTACTACTCATCTATGAGCTTCCGCCTTCCACCCAATGCGGTGAAACACTCCCATCCACCTCCAGTGTTACACCCACCTGTGACTACGTTATCAGCCAGCGCCGGGGGCTGGCAGCGCTGTTGCTGCGGTCCCCGACAGAAGCGCGTCATCTGCACACTGTCCAGTTGTCGCACCGTGAGCTGCCCGTCCGCGGAGGGCCACACCACGTGCACGGACTCGGTGAAAAACTCGGGAACAGAGCCGTCGTCGGGCTCCGGAGTCGCCGGCCTGTGGACGGGGAACGAGGGTTAGCGAGGGGTTATAGAGGGGTAGAGAGGGATTGAAACGAGGGGTAGAGAGGGATCGAATTTCGAAACGAGGGGTCAAAACGAGCCGGTAGAGAGAAGTTGAAACTAGGGGTAGAGAGGAGTCAAAACAAAGGGTAGAGGCCGAGGGGAATTCACTGGATGCAAGCGGACAACCAACTCAGCTTTGTCATTGGACTGGTTATAAGAAATGGAAACTAATAAAACCCGAAATTGAATATATGCTGCAGAATGCAGCACGCAAATATGTAGTCACGTGTAATGCGCCTGCATGGAATAAAACAACTGTTCAATGGAAAACCAAATACAGGTGTCAGAAATATTGATTTACTGCAATAAGCTTGATATTGTTTTCGGTGCTTGTTTTCGTTCCGCATTTCTGAATATTGCTTTCTGAAATATATCAGAGTACTTTGCGTTGAATTGAGCATTGACTTGCGGTAGGAAATGGGCTATGCATATCAAATAACAAAAGCAGTCCACATGGGGCATAGCATACAGGCATAAAAGAAGGTACGATTGACGAAAAGATCATTCTTTCGACAAATCATACAACGTATCGCAGCTACCAACGTAAACATAGGCCGTTGCTATGTACAGTCTGTCTTAAAAGTACCGCGCAAAGTGACGGTGGATCCATCGAGCTTGACTGAGCAAGGGCCTGCTAAATTTGGGTCACCGAAGCAATTGGCATCCTTGTCCATTCCCTAGGTCAATTGGTCGGTGACTTTTAAATTAAAACAGGCCCTTTCTCGGTCAGGCTTGATGGATCCACCGTCACTTTGCGCGGTACTTTTAAGACAGACTGTACAGCCCTCTGCAAACTGCGTGGTAGGTATTCTTTTTCCGACAAAACCGAGAATAACGCAAATACTATGCTATCGGTCACTCGAAAATCGTAACAGCAAGACGCGCGAAATACCGCACCTTAGATTGGCATTATCATCTTATTCATTTTCCATCCAGTTTGGCAGGAAAACCCAAAAGTTTATATTTGCCCCCAAAACAAACTTTTGCATTTTATTGCCACACAAGCCGTTTACTTTGTTAAGTAATAGATCCAATCGAAGGAGTGGAGCATGGCGCATCTATTTGAAGTGAGTTCCGACCGCCTGTTGACATAGCCTTTGAGTAATTATCGGTTTTGTCGAAAAAAGAATACCTACCACGCAGTCTGCTGAGGGCTGTACAGTCTGTCTTAAAAGTACCGCGCAAAGTGACGGTGGATCCATCAAGCCTGACCGAGGAAAGGCCTGCTATAATTTGAAAGTCACCGAACCAATTGACCTTGGGGAATGGACGAGGATGTTCATTGCTTCGGTGACTCAAATCTAGCAGTCCTTCATCGGTCAGGCTTGATGGATCCACCGCCACTTTGCGCGGTACTTTTAAGACAGACTGTACATACAGTCCACAGCAGAAGTAATGTGGGGTTTCAGTCATGGGTATGTTCTGCTTCTGAAGCTTAGGAGCGATTGATTAACCAGACTACAATGAAACTTTGAATGTAGCTTATATGTATCGTCACCCTTGCAGCTGCAACTTTAGCTATTGACATCTTCTTTCGATCACTCCGCATTAAACAATCGCCAGTCAAAGCCAACCGTTGAGATTGGTAAAACCAGGGCTGCGGAGTCGGAGTCGGAGTCGGAGTTGGAGTCGATCGGAGTCGACAGTTCTGCCCGGAGTCGGAGTCGGAGTCGGAGTCGCCAAAATCTTACCGACTCCGACTCCGGAGTCGGAGTTAACGCTGCATGGCTCAATGTCAATTTGATTTGACGTTGAGCACCTGTTTGATTGACGATACAGCGCTCGAAATTGGATTTTGTCGAAAAAAGGGCATTTTGCCGTTTTGGACGAACGTTTTCAGCGAAAGAAGCAGAAGACGGTGAAGTCCCCAGGGCCTGCTTCTTAATTCTGCATGCTATTTTTAATGCATAATTGCAACGAATAGCCTTGGAACGCACAAGGGATGGTTTCAGGCAAGATAAAAACATCTCCGTTATGAACTTCAATATCATGATATGGATTTTATTAGAACCGTCCGGAGTCGGAGTCAGAGTTGGAGTCGGAGTCGGAGTCGATTTTTGAAGCCGGAGTCGGAGTCGGAGTCGGAGTCACCCTAAAATCCATCGACTCCGCATCCCTGGGTAAAACCCTACATTACTTTAGCGGTGGGCTGTACCTTACTTTAAATAGTAAATGGACAATGTCGACCACGAGATCAAGGTAACCCAATCACCTGTACTCATAACGAGTCACTGCTCCGGCCTCAATCCAGTCTGTGCATCAATAATCCTCCACTGTGGTCTCCCTAACGCGAGAAACGATCCACTCCCAGCCATAGTTTGTTTTAGCACACCCGTTGTCCCCTGTCCCGCCCCGCTGTCTCCAGTTCAGAAGCAGAGCCGGCAGGTTCCGGGAACTGCCTTTCGAGAGTTGGTCCCAAGCACAAGGTTCGGCGGCTTAGCCCCCCGCTAATTATGGTAATCTTCTCATCTCGACTGCGACGATCGCTCATAGTTAGGAAGTCGAGGCGACTGAAATAGTCGACTAACTTCCGACCGTGTGAAGGCGAACTCCAGATGTTCTTAGATTAATTCCGCTGCTGGCTACTTCATAAATAAGTTAGCGTTAAAGTAAGGTGGCTAGGCATTTCATAACTACCTGCGGAGCTTTGATACATGCACTTTGATTTATGAAAACAGATAAAATGAAAAGTCGTCTGATGTCTTCAACCACACTTTCAATGGTGGTGTGAGATTTAACAATTTCAAACGCTTTAGATGATCATTATTACTAAAGACCTTGAATAGTTAACCGAGAAAGGTGAATGTTTACCCCAGGCTCCGACGGGTTAACAGTTTCTATTCCGTGATCAATTTTCGTGCGGAGGTTCCTGGAAAACTTGGGGAAATGATAAACGAATATTTTAAAAGAGACCAATCCTGATATCATTAGGTAATATGTATGTACTTTTGTTTTACCTATGTGGGTCGCAGTTAATCCGTGCTGGACTGGGGAGGGGGCCTCTACAGATCCCTCCCATTTTCTACAAAACCCTCCATTGTCAATGCGTAAAGATGCAACATCTTTTTAAGATGCATTCTAATGGAAATATGGCTTTAGGATGGAAGCCGAAAATTAGCAATTTAAAGTCATATAGCCTCATATGACGACATTAATTTTAGTCATACGTTCCATGCAACATGGACAAAAAAAGAACCGCAAGCCTCCGATCCATGATCCGTGACCCGTTCTATTCCTGGCATCCTCACCCGCGCTCCATATCCGGTCTCCATTAGCGCCTCAGGGGGTTCCCAGAACAGATGGTCTGGCGCCTCCTTCAGCCAAAACCCGACCCGCAAAAAATAAACAGCTCCTTCCGGCCTCTAGCCCGAAAGGCAGCCGAGACGGCTACGTTACATTAGCAGAGCCACTGAGCTGCTGAATCTCACAGCTCAGAGCCGCAGCCGTGGGCAGGGGGGGGGGCTGGTGGTCTGAACCGCGCCGGGGTTGAGGAGAGAGAAGGGAGAAAGGAAGGAGCCAGCGAGAGAAAGTAAAGGATGAAATCAATAGTCAATGTGTTAAAGGCAATGTAGTATCGTGATGTGGTGTGAGGAAGGAGAGGGGGGAGAGAGAGAGAGAGAGAGAGAGAGAGAGAGAGAGAGAGAGAGAGAGAGAGAGAGAGAGAGAGAGAGAGAGAGAGAGAGAGAGAGAGAGAGAGAGAGAGAGAGAGAGAGAGAGAGAGAGAGAGAGAGAGAGAGAGAGAGAGAGAGAGAGAGAGAGAGAGAGAGAGAGAGAGAGAGAGAGAGAGAGAGAGAGAGAGAGAGAGAGAGAGAGGAGAGAGAGAGAGAGAGAGAGAGAGAGAGAGAGAGAGAGAGAGAGAGAGAGAGAGAGAGAGAGAGAGAGAGAGAGAGAGAGAGAGAGAGAGAGAGAGAGAGAGAGAGAGAGAGAGAGAGAGAGAGAGAGAGAGAGAGCATAAAACATAGGGTATTAGTGGCGAAGTCCGTCAGGCTAACTTTATTTAGCCGTGTTCGGAAAACACGTCGAGAAAATAGAGCCACACTGTCGAGCTGTTACAGCCCCACAGCCCTGGAGCTGCCACAGCCACACAACACAGGAGGTCCCAGACGCGGCTCGGAAACTACCACCACAGGGACCGCCTCTGGCGGAGCGAAGGCTGATGAAGCAAGAAAATTCGCGCAATTTGACAGTTACTGGCAGCGAAACGCAAGTTTCTAACTAGTCTAAATGATATTTTGCAAATGTAAACGAACTTTATGGACAGATAAAAAGTCATGCAGTGCAATCCTCAGGAAATTTTCAAAAACCTACAGGATAAAGGCAGTGGAGACTATCGAAATAGGAATGTATGTATGTATGTATTGATCTAAAATCCATCCACATAACATGGTTTTTCAGGATTCAGCGTCATGCACAATACAGTAAAATGCAAGAAGGCAATAGGCACTGGCAGATAAAATAAGACAACTAATTGCACTAAAACCGGAATAAAACACAGCACCCCAAGATCTCAGGCTTCGCTGGCCGCCACTGCGCGGCGAAACGCAGTCAGCGTGGGCTGCTCCCTTAAGGAATAAACTTAATTAGAATAGTTGAATAGGAGGATCATAAACCATTCACCACCGCCAACTAGGGTGAAATTAAATTGTGACCTTGACATTTTCAATCCACTCACTCCGATTTCCTCCACCAGTATAACGCCTTTTGGGGCGACTAACGGAGCGAGCGAGAGGGTGAGCCTTGCACGTGCGAAATTTCGAGGGGGTACCTCCAGCTGACTTGTGCACGGCACCCTACTAACCGGTCTCTAGCGATGTGCCAAATTTGAGCACAATCGGCCCAGCCGTTCTCGAGATCTGGAAGCGGCACCCTGCACGTGCGCACGTGCAAAATGGGTCCCAACTGACTTTTGCACGGCACCCTACTAACCGGTCCCTAACCATGTACCAAATTTGAGCGCCATCGGTCCAGCCGTTCTCGAGATCTGGAATCGACCCCTGCACGTGCGCACGTGCAGCAGCACCCCAACTCTGGCACATGGATATGCATTGCCTAGTGGGTGCCTACCTACATGCCAACTTTCAGCACAATCGGCCAAGTAGTTACCGAGATATTGCAACAATTACAAAAGTGACAACTCTTCGTTTTGCACGTGGCACGTGCATAAGGGGTTACCCACATGCATCGGGAATAGTCCAATACTTGGTAGAAGGAATGAAGCTACCCTACAAAAATTACTGCGTGTAAATCGGTCAAGTGGTTGCTGAGATATAAGCCTCGCAAAAGCGTGACCACGGCCGGCCGGCCGGCCGGCCGCTCATACTCAGAAATTTCCGTTAATCTAAGGAAAGACTACGCTCGCTTCGCTCGCTCCGTAATCAAACCAGTATAACGCCTTTGGGGCGACTAACGGAGCGAGCGAGAGGGTGAGCCTTGCACGTGCGAAATTTCGAGGGGGTACCTCCAGTTGACTTGTGCACGGCACCCTACTAACCGGTCTCTAGCGATGTGCCGAATTTGAGCACAATCGGCCCAGCCGTTCTCGAGATCTGGAAGCAGCACCCTGCACGTGCGCACGTGCAAAATGGGTCCCAACTGACTTTTGCACGGCACCCTACTAACCGGTCCCTAACCATGTACCAAATTTGAGCGCCATCGGTCCAGCCGTTCTCGAGATCTGGAATCGACCCCTGCACGTGCGCACGTGCAGCAGCACCCCAACTCTGGCACATGGATATGCATTGCCTAGTGGGTGCTTACCTACATGCCAACTTTTAGCGCAATCGGCCAAGTAGCTACGGAGATATTGCAACAATTACAAAAGTGACACCTCTTCGTTTTGCACGTGGCACGTGCATAAGGGGTCACCCACATGCATCGGGAATAGTCCAATACTTGGTAGAAGGAATGAAGCTACCCTACAAAAATTACCGCGTGTAAATCGGTCAAGTGGTTGCTGAGATATAAGCCTCGCAAAAGTGTGACCACGGCCGGCCGGCCGGCCGCTCATACTCAGAAATTTCCGTTAATCTAAGGAAAGACTACGCTCGCTTCGCTCGCTCCGTAATGAATTCTGAGGAGAAAATGATCCGCAGACAACGGCTGATGGGAAGGAGTGGGAGTGGTGGGAACAAAACATCGGAGACGGGGGAGGGGAGACAAAACACCGGAGAGGAGACAGAGACAGGGGCAAGAGACAAAAGACTGAGCCAGACGACAGGGAGCTCCAGGAACGGTGAATGGAGGACATTCGGGGAAACGACAGAGGATGCTCAAAGTATAGCATGATAAGCACAAAGACAACATCCATGAATATGAAATGACACACGGAATAGGAACAGGACAGGATAACAAACAACAAACATTCATGAGACAGAACACAAAAACCGACAGTGACAGAGACTGTAAGAAGGATGAAAGAAACGGTCAGGACAGCAGCAGACTGTTGTAACCACTGCCGCAAGCCCATTCAATCCCATGGCTGCACATGACAAAAGCAGTTATCTAATGCCACAGACAGCAGCTCTCCCTAACAGATCTTATGAAGATTAATTGGCCTTTCGAAGAGTTCAAAACATAGATTCTGCTCAAGGAAACCGCGCGTCGTTTTAATTCAAAGGTGAGAGAAAGCCGGTTAGATTTCAGGCTTGATAAAAAGCCAAACTTTTATCCCCAAGCGAACAATGAAATCGCGATAAGGAGGTGTTTTCTCCAGGGACTCTCAGAGTATCCAGAAACTCGGAGGCTTTCGGCTCCATAACTTTAGCCGCAGAGTTAATTAATCAGAGTAGCGAGTCTCATTTGATTTAATATGCAAATGAACTGGCAATAAATTGTGAAATTCTGCGAGAAGACGGCCGCTCTCTAACGTCTATAAACTAGTAGGCCGGCGGTGATATCCACAATCTGACTCGGCAAATTGCACATTTGGCTCTAATGTTGCCATCAGCCGGCTAGCGGACATCCTATTCGAACATCTCGCAGTTCCTTAATGTGAACGCCAATGTCCGTCATCGGCCGTATTGGCACTCTGTTCTGAGCTAGGCGACCCCCACCCACTGCAGCTTCATACGGGACCGATATTGTGATGTGACGTCACAGAGCCACCACTGACGTCACCGTCATGTGACTGGAGCTGACGTCAGGCCGTCTTATCACCGGTCTCCGAATCCGCTCAGAACACACGTCCAGAAGGAACTACCGCAGGACGGGAAGGTCAGTTCAGAGCATGATGGTAAATAGAGGGCTGTTTTTTTTGTGTCTGGCTTCTCACGAAGCACAGTTCAAACATATAGTAAGTTTTTCAAGTTTTCTGTGCTTTTTCGTGTTGGGATAGTCGATCAGTCAAACATTAGAGTCAAAACTAAATCAGAGAAAACGGCAAAGCATTATTAATGACCCACGAGAAACGATGCTTTCATGTAATTAACTACATCTATATGCGAGTAGGCTTGACAAAACTCCATTTATTACGAGCTAATGAGCGAAGCGAGCAAATAGAAAAGTCTTCCTCAGAATAGCAGAGATTTCTGAGGCGGCCGGCCGGCCGCGGGGACGCTTTTGTGGGGCCAACCACTGCACTGGACTTATTCACTTGCTTCATCCCTCTAGTACACTAGGTATTCCCGATGCATGTGGGCGATCCCTTACGTATGTGCCACTTTTAAAACGAAGAGATATCTGTTTTGCAACGCCTTCAATAACCCACTATACCGGGCTGAGAACTACATATCACCCAGCAATCAGCCTGCAATTCCTCTCTCTCTCTCTCTCTCTCTCTCTCTCTCTCTCTCTCTCTCTCTCTCTCTCTCTCTCTCTCTCTCTCTCTCTCTCTCTCTCTCTCTCTCTCTCTCTCTCTCTCTCTCTCTCTCTCTCTCTCTCTCTCCCCCCTCCCAGTTCCCCATTTGTACTCACGGCGCGTCCTCCGCTGCGTCCTCCTCCTCCCGGCCGGGGTGCCGGTACCGGAACAGGATCCCCTCCGAGGACTGGGTGACCGAGGCCTCCTCCTCAAAGGTCAGCGGCGGCACGGGTCGCTCCGGCTCCTCCTCAGACAGGTGCCACCAGCGCCGGCGACGTCTCAGCGGGGCCAGCGCGCCAGCCGGGTCTGCCAGTAGGGTCAGCCGGGGTCAGCGCAGAAGTCAGGAAGGAGTCAGAGGAGGGCTACAGAGGTCAGGGCAGAGATCACGGTAGACCGCGGGACAGGGTCAAGGTTTAGAGAAGGGTTGTCTGATATTGCAGAGCAGAGGTCGCGGTACAGGTCAAGGAGGAAAGAGACACGAGCAGGGTCAGAGTTATGTGTATAGTATACGTATGTTTTAAGGTTCAGTCAAAAATTTGAGCAAAATGACAATACCAATTACCAATTTGGGACCTCGTTGTTACTCGGAACAAAGACCAGTTGTTTAAATGACAAGAATAGATTCGCAAACCTGAATGTATATTTTTGGTAGTGTTTTATTATTTAATTTGAGTGCTGAAATGAGTCTTAAACTAGTACAAAATAATACAATACATCATTATGCTGGCAATGCTCACATATGACACATGGCATTAACTCAGTGTTGATCTCTCCTTCACAGTCCCCAAAAATATACACCTAATATACACCGGAAGCCCATCTGCCAAATAGCAGCAAACCAACTCCCACCCAGGCGTCTCCAGTCCCCATAAAGTCTCCTTTGACAGCTAGAAGCCAGCAGCAAAACAACCAAACCATTCTCCATCCCTCTCTGTTATCTCCAGCCGGTGGCTCCTCTGAACGTTGGCGCGCGTGCGCGTGCGTGTGTGTGCGTAGGGCGTGTGTTTCCTCGACGTCCGTAAATACTGTCGCGACCCCACAGCCCCCGGGGATCTTCTGATCAATACTGATCCACGCGAGCCACCATATTGACACAGATGCCCTCCGCTGATCGTTGTTCGAAGAGGACAGCAGTCTTCTCAGGACGCCCACGCCATCACAGCAGCCAGTGATGACGGCGTACCTAATACATTGTTTTGATTTGATGATATGCCGTTATGGTGCCCCATATTGGCATATCATCATTGTCGGTTAGATAAACGGTTTAGTCACTGAATGTCAAACTTTTCTAGTGGAAAACGCGCCTAAGCGAATCGCATTCAAATGCCTAGCCCTAGTGGGTATGCCATCTTGCCACTGCACTGTGAAAATAAGTCCTTCTGCCTAAAAACCGATTTATTTTCAGGAGTGGTCTTTCATCAGTGACACAAGAGAACTCGCAGTCCAGCGTCTTCACAATCCACAGTAAATATATCATATCACGTCAGCAACACACCATGCCAAGCGCACGGCCGGGCGCTGGAAACTGGCTAGGTAGACTGTGCCGCAGCACAGCGGAGTCTGGCGGTACAGTCTACAAGCCCAGACGGCAATAGCGGGAGAAGGGCCGCTGCATTTGCTCACTAGTCACTAACTAATGAGCTGAATTGGCCCCGATTTCAGGAAACACGGACAAAGCCGACAGACAGTTAGGCTGTGTCTCGCGCTTATACAGATTGCAGAAGTTAACTCGGCCCAAAATAAATCCGAAACGATGATAAGACATTGGAGGCGAAGCGAAAATACTTCGATTTGGTTTGAAAAAACGAGGATGACAAAGTTAATAAAACTATCGAAACTCGAAAGCGAGAAACAAGAAAAGAAAGTAATATTGGTAATATTAAGTCTTCAACACTTGAAATGTGGTTGGTCAAAAGTACGCTTCTAACCTCAGCTTCGGATCCCCAGGGTACGGAATACAAGCAACAACTACATACCAGATTGGAGGATTGAGCAGTCCAAGCTAGAAGTGAAGAGTTCGTCTACTGCCTATCTCGTGTTTACATTCTAAATGATACAACACGCATCCTGTGATTGAAATAAGCTTTTAATAGCCTAACATCACATCATCTTCAATTTATACTGACATTTCTACCGCATTCTTGCACGCACTCAAGGGACTTGACCACGTTATTAAAACTGCGCCAGGCATTCTGTGACGTCTTTCTCTCGCGACACCCAATACCCGCACAACCATCCCACGGGACAGACTCGGTGGTCGCTCCCCGCTCCGCACGCACCGCCCGCAGTCCAGCCGGCCGTTATTTGGCCGGGCCAATTTATTGGACAGCTCACCGCCCGGATTCAGACCGGGTGCCCGTAGCCGTCGGTTTCGACGCGCTCTCTGGCCGCAGGCGGAACGACGCGACGACGCCACAACTCAGCGACAACACGGCCAGTCGACGGAAACGGCGGCACTCGGGGCTGCCGTCGGCCGACAACCGGCGCCGTGAGATCCTTACCAAACTGTACGTCCGAACCGGGCGGACGATTTGGTGGACGGAACGTGCCGAGAATTTCTTTGTGGATCATTCACATTGTGTGAATTCCCACTATGCGGACTTTGCAACCAACTTATGAAATATGCAATATGCATGCACTGATCCATGATACAATGAATTGCTATTCCACGCACGCCTACTGGTATAAGTTCAACAAAACGCCGGAGCGGACCAAATCCAGTCGTCACCGTTTGACAGAGCTCCGAATCCGTCCATGGTGGGCCCTGGAGGTCACTGCAAGGACGATGAACTATGAGCCCAGCCCGGCGCTGCCCCCGCCCTGTCTGGGGGAGGGGTGGGGCAATCACAGCCGCCGCCGGAAGGGGAGGGGAGGGGTGGGGAAATCACGTGACCGGGGTGAGGATGACTGGGGACGGCTGCCGCTGACGACGGAGATGATGGGTTGGCGGCGGGGAGGGGAGGATGGGTCATGGGAGGGGAGAGAGGAGTGGCGAGGACCCGCAGAAGGGTGGTGGTTTGGAGAGCAAAGGAGATTGGAGAGAGGGAGAGAGAGAGTGGGTGGGGTCGAGGAGAGAGGGTTAAGTTAGGGAGAGAGGGGAGGAAGGGCTGACCGGAAACAGGGTTCGGCGATGGCGCTGGGGAGAGCAAAAGGAAAACAGAGGATCAGTGCCCGAGGGTAAGAACAAGAAAGAAGATAGTGATAGAAACAATCAATAGGTATAGGGAACAAACAAAGGGAGGAAAAGAGAGGCATACAGAGACAGTTGAGAGAGAAAGAAGAGGGAGAAAAAAAGAGGGAGATGGAGAGAGGAAGAGAATATGACAAAAACAGATGACAGAAACAAATACGACAGAAACAGAAGACAGACGCCTGCTCCATTTCTCCGAAGTCAACACATTCCACATGCTATTTTTGAAGCCGCATGACGTCAAGCGCATACGAAACATAGCTATGAAACCTAAGTGACAAAACCGAAGTGAAATATAATACAAAAAACGCCACACCCTATCTGCAGCCAGTTGGCCACATTTGGACCATGCAATCCCTGGACATTATGAACTCTGGCCCATTCAAGGCACTGGCCATTTTGACACTGGGCATAGCGTACCCTGGACATTATGAACCCTGGCCAGAATGAATGCTCCCCGTTACCAGCCTCTGTATGCCACTTAAAACAACAACAAACAAACACCCATCACTGACAAACAAACACCATATATGGCCGTCGTCCAGACGGCACATAGCCACCACTGATCAGAAGCAAACAAAGGCCATACCGTAGACACAGAGACCACGACCGGACCATCCCATTACGGCGATTGGTGAGGGGAGGTGCAACCCACACTGGGGAAGCAGTTAGCAGTCAGACAGTGAGGCTGACCAGACGACCGTTTTTGGTACAGGAACCAGGGCAAAACGTGTGTCCCGAGTGAGCTAAGCCCCGCAACCACTGGCAAAGTCTGAAGTACCGAACGTAGCTCGGGAAACGCAGAATAGATGCTCGCTTCATTCCATCATAGGCGATTGAAGGTGAAAATAACGATTAACGTACATCTTCATGATATTTAAAGTTTTCGCGAAGTGCATACTGCATATCCGAGATAAGCACTATGAAGAAGAACGCTCATTTGTCACCCAACGCGCCCTCCAACGCTTCGCAACTCCACGATGAACAAAGGAATCGATTCGAGGAAGCGTGGATGAGGTTCACTATCTCCACAGAGGTGTGTCTGATCACGCTTAACGCATCGCCCGGCGAAAGTTCAACGGTGGCACGGCGGGGTGATAAAATGTAGAGGGAGGGAGAAGGGAAAAACTGAGGTGAGAAAAGAGAAAGAGCGCGAGTATGTGACAGAGAGAGAGAGAGAGAGAGAGAGAGAGAGAGAGGGAGAGAGAGAGAGAGGAGAGAGAGAGAGAGAGAGAGAGAGAGAGAGAGAGAGAGAGAGAGAGAGAGAGAGAGAGAGAGAGAGAGAGAGAGAGAGAGAGAGAGAGAGAGAAATGCAGAGAAGACAAAGGGAGACACAGGAGCGGCGCGGCGCGCTATAAAGCCGCCGTCTTTTGCTGAGCTCTAGAGCGGTGTCGTTTTATCGACCGGGCGTGGCGTAGCGGCGCCGCCGCCATTTCAGAGTCGCTGCCTCGGCGCGATGATGATCGGGTCTTACCCAAGACTGAGGGAGGCGACGTTTTTAGACCAGAGCGTAAGCCGACTGAGAAATCGCCAAGCTTAATTATAAAGGAAAGAAAACAGCGAAGGAAGATAACTTCACAGCATTAGTTTCATAAATAAAAAGCTGTGATGAAGCGACAATGAATGAATCAGGCTACCAAACTTCGTAGTGGTTAAAGGGACTATCCCACCTTTAACATGGGGTTTGAGTTGAGATAGCCAAGTTTGCGGCGAGGTTCAGAAACCACTATCTATCTAGGTTGCAACCCCCGCGGCCTCTTGGTGTTGAAGAAATTCGTTCCCTTCATTTGAAAATGGGCCTTGTACGGGGACCCGCAGTTGCTACTGTACACGAACCCCAACTCTAGCCGTCTGTCCTGTCCAGTAACAACCGATAACATTGATATCGACTGCCGGTCCCTGTACAAGAGCAGCTGAGGTTTTCTGTGCGTGTCCTCTGACAGCTTATCGTTGTTCCCTGTGAGGGTGCTGGGACAATTTACTCAGGGTCGCTGTACAGTAGCAACTGCGGGTCCCCGTACAAGGCCCTATCTTCAACATGGAGCGACCGTTAGTGTGACGTCACCTCGTTTAGTCATTCTGATTTAAATGGGTTTGTTCGTTGAAAAATCGCTTAAAACTTGGTCTGAACTTTGTTGTGGTGCCTACAGAGTAAAAACTAAAAAGAATCAGCTTTATGACAGTAATGTGGCCTGGGGAAGGAGGTAATTTTGGGCGAGGAAATCGAGTCCTCTCCGATCCTCTACCCAATCCTATCGGCGTGTTCCAAGGATCCTCGCTCGGTCCGCTCCTGTTCCAAATATTTGCCAATGACCTCCCCCTCTACGCCCCTGGGGCGCACGTGGTGCAGTACGCTGACGATACTCAAATCTTACTATCTGGCAAAAAAGACTCCCTCCCTCATCTCATTGCAACTTTGGAACAAATTTTGGACTCATTTGACGCCTGGTTTCATACCAACGGTTTGAAAGTTAACACTAACAAAACTGAACTCATCATGTTTGGCTCTCGTCAAAATTGCCGTGGCTTGGATCCCATCACGATTCGGTTCCGTGAGGACACGATCCGTGAGGGCCCTACGGTGAGGAACCTTGGCGTGATTTTTGACAAGCACCTCACCTGGGACTCTCACGTATCGGCCCTCGTCCAAAAATGCAACGGTATTCTCATCGGGCTGTCCCACGTGCGTCACCACATCCCTAGTGAACTCCTGCCTACTGTGGTCAGCGCCTTGGTCCTCTCGCACGTCCGTTATTGTCTCTCGGTCTACGGAAACGGCTCGGACAAAAACATACAACGTCTCCAAAAAGTCATCAATTTTGCGCTGCGCGTTGTGTCTGGCCGAAGAAAATTTGACCACATATCGGACGTGCGAGAGGAACTGGGTTGGCCCACCGCCCGTCAGCTGTTCGAAATCCACTCACTCAATTTCCTTCACAAAATACGCTGCACTGGGGAGCCGGAGACTATATCCTCTCAAATCCTGACCAACTCTTCCCTGCGCTCACGCTCGACAAGGCGGGACACTGATCTGGCTCTCCCACGCGTGAGGACCGAAGCAGGGAGGCGCCGTCTGCTCTACAGCATCGCCCAGTTATATAATCGCCTGCCCCATGATTTTAGGAGCCTCTCTATGGGAAGTTTTAAACGCTCTGTTTCCGAGTGGTTTTTACGTATTTAGGGATGAGTGAATGGTTCGATATGTTTACTGAGTGCTGTGATTTGGGTGCATTTTAACTCATTTTCCCCTTTTAACTCAGACGCGACACTCAGAATAGCCATTTTAATATGGAAAGTGTTTTAATTGTCAATACAATACAATACAATATTTGAAAGTTTGTGTTTGGAATACGGGAAGCCTAAGATGTTTAATGAAAAATAAATGCCAGAACCGTGTTCCTGGTCATCCTATCTATAAAGTCGGGCACAATTTAACTGGTTTTAACAACATTTTAGAAGGTGGGATAGTCCCTTTAAGTGTGATTTTGAACGAACGAACTTCTATCCCTTTGATGAAATGTCTTCAATTTACTTGAAACTGCGCTGTTGATACTTTTCAGAAAGGCAAAAGCTGAAATGGCTCAAATGGGTCACAAGGCCGGCGAAATTGCACCATTATGGAATCACTGAGAAACGCTAAGAAAATGCCTATTTTCCGCCTCCTCGACAACACTGGCAGTTCATTACAGCGTGTTCGATGATCGTCAGTAACAAGCTAGAGTGATCCTCAATAGCAGGTCAGTGAGATCTTCCAGTAGTAAGTTAGTGATCTTTAGCGACAGATCACTACCTCTTACGCAGTAGTGACCTCAATCAGGAGGTTAGTGACACCCGGTGGCAGGTCAGTGACCTCCAGCGGCTGTTAGTGACCTCCAGTAACAGATCAGTGACCTACATTGACAGGTCAGTGGCCTCCAGCAGGACGCCAGTGACGGCCCAACACGACACTCTCCGCTCCATTACTCCCACTCTGTCCCAGTACGCCCGGCCGGCTTCACTCAATCGTATTAACGGCGCCGCACACAGCGGCAAAAACAGAGCCCAAACAGCAAACACCGTGACACAAAGGCCGCGCGCTGCTACTAAACCCACAGGGCGGAGATCATGTTGACGAAAAAGGACTTGGGATGATGTTCGATAAACAAGAAAATGAGAATAGAGCGTCGCGTTTTCTTAAATCAAAACGCTTCGAAGATTCACACAAGAGTTAGTACTTTCGATACACTAGCGGCATTGCTTCCTCTGCCTGTTTTAGCTAATGTTTACGGTAAATGCAGCGAATATGCGCTGATAGGTTGGTAGCAGCTGCCGCCGGCGCTGCCCTAACAAAGTCAGTAATGGTCGCCTTGTTCACCAGGGACGTCCCCCGAGGTCGGACTGGGGCGTCCCAAGCATCTAGCTGCGGGTGTCCCACGAATATCGGGCTGGGGGTGTCCCACGAATATCGGGCTGGGGGCGTCCCAAGCATCGAGCTGGGGGTGTCCCAAGCATCGAGCTGGGGGCGTCCCAAGCATCGAGCTGGGGGCGTCCCAAGCATCGGGCTGGGGGTGTCCCAAGCATCGGGCTGGGGGCGTCCTAAGCATCGAGCTGGGGGCGTCCCACGAATATCGGGCTGGGGGCGTCCCAAGCATCGAGCTGGGGGCGTCCCACGAATATCGGGAGGACGTCCCCTGACTTCATTCCGAGTGTCGCTGGTCTGCAGAGTCCAGGGCTACCTTATCTGCCTAGTGTATCTGATTACTGGCGATTGTCCTACTCCTCTTGTACGTGCGACACGTAATACCGCCAGCTGAATGAAGACTGTGGATGGCACTGCTCCGTGGCCAGTGCTCTGGCCAGATGACAGCCAGATGTTTCAAATGGCTCTACTAAAACTATCGTATAGCTACTCACATAGTTTACATACATGTATAGTTTGTCGACGACCAATCTCAAGGCTAAATAAGAGAAGGTTCTGTCACAGTAATTGTAAATCCGACCCCCCACTAACCGTTCGATACTGTTAAAGATTGCATACGTATATATCCAAAATCGACTCACCGGTATCTGGGTACTGCCACAGTTTGTAGACGACCCCGCTGTGGTTGCGGTGGTTGAACTGTCTCACGGAGTGAAGTCGGGCCCTCTCGGCAGAGGTGGACCACACAGCGGCGCCGCTCGGATCCAGGAGCGTCAGCCGGCCGCGGCACCGAGGACACACGCCAGCGTTCTCCAGCTGCCGAGACAAACCCGAGTTCTCAGTGGAGATAGCGTAAGGTACTCACTACTCAGTGGGTACATGCCGGCATTCTCAAACTGTCGAGACAAACCAGAGGTCTCAGTGGAGACAATATAAGAAGCTCACTGCTCAGCCGACCGTGACACTGCGTGCACACGCTAGCGTTCTCCAGTTGCCGAGACAAAGCATTGTCTCAGCAGCTGGCTCAATGAAGACAGCGCGGTAAGGTGCTCGCTGCTCAGCTGTTAACCCGCGAGTTGCTGGGGGGGGGGGGGGGCGTTAAATGCCCCACTTTTTTCGCCGGGCCATAGTATAAGAATGGCGCGCCAAAATTTGGGTACCTGTAAGGAATTGATTGAAGTTTATTGTGACAAAGTTTCAAAAAAATCGGTCAGAAAATTTTTGAGATATCGAGGTTTTAGTGACGTCATGATTTCTGAGTTTTCGACCAAAAACGGCATATGTTCGAAAAATCATATAAAATCACAGAATAGACATACAGACATTGCCTAAACGCCATTAGACTGCCAATACCATGAACAATCAAATGGCTATCTTCGATTATTGATTATCGTTCCGCATTTCCCAAAATCTTGAACTGAATCTTGGCAATTTCTCGTGACTTCTTCACGACCATGATACATGCATTTTTTAAATTGAACTTTTTGAGCGTAACACGTACACATATGATAAAATGAATGTCACCATCGTGCTCTACGCTCAAAATTACCCATAAAACATGTGTCACAGGCTGCGAATATCAGTTTTGATTTTCGGGGATATGTGCCTACCCGGTTGACCTGACCTTGACCCTGACCTATGCTTGACTGACCCCTACATGGAGCTGACACTCTTGTAGGCCTTATATGAAGGATTTTGCACCGTTTTGGAGTTTATGACGAGAGGCGCCCATTGCGAAGTCCTGAAGTCCATGCTACTGAAAGCCCGATTTCAGGTGTTTGACCTGACCTTGACCTGACCTGTGACCTCAAAATTCAACTTTAAAGTACTCATCTGAAGCGTCTCGTCGCGTTCTTTCGTTTGCCGCCTAGTGCGTTTCGCTGCGCCTATAGGTTCTCGAGTTATCGGCTGGGGGCGTTTAACGCCCCCCCCCCCCCCCCCCAGCAAACGGTGGGTGGCGAAATACCCCAGCAACTGCCGGGTTAAAATGAGCGGAAAAAAACTTCGAAATTCGGAAACGGAATTTCAACATTAATATCTATTTAATGACCCAAACTAAGCAAACCCCAATCTATAGCAACTCAACCTCCGACCCAGCGCAAAAACAATGCCAATTACGCCAACAAACAAACAAAGCCAACAAAGCCAACAAAGCCAACAAAGCCAATTAAATCTGCCAGAAATAACACGCCGATGACGTCACTGGTCTGACAGAAAGAATGGGCTTATGATGCGAAGGAACGCCGGAGCGGAGCCCTGAAAGGCCCGAACGACGAGCGCACTGCGCCGGCACCGGCCGGCCGACTCAGGAGTCAGGAATCCCCGCCGATAGTAGAGAGGACAATGAGCCGAGTCAACTGCAGGGGAGGAGACTGTCCGGGTGTACGGGTTGGTCCAACCACGGATCACATAACGGATCGGCAACTCCCCCCCGCGACCTGTCTCCCCTGCCACCTGGTGGGCATTTAGGTGAACTATCTTCACTAAGGAAGCGGCCGGCCTCGTGCGTGTTGAGGGCGTCGTGTCGGAGCTAATTAAGTGATTTTTCTGCGGAACATGGTTTCTCAGCTAGCTCAGAAGATACCTATGGTATAAATGAGAATGGCAAGAATCGTTAGAGACAGGTTAAGTATTTGAGATCGTATCCTTTGTCATGAAAATCGTTGTTTTCATACCCACGTGGGCGACCTAGCGTCCATCGCTAAATTGGTAATTTTCCGATCGCTGTCATCTCTTACATATATTTCATGAGTACATTTTTGATAAATATTCATCTGCCGATTAAATTAAATCTATAACTTTCACAAATATCCTACTTGCATAAAGTATAAACCCACGCCGGGCCGGTACACGGTACCAACCGCGCCGGGCCGAGGGTGTATGAAACCCCCGCCCCCTCCTAACTCGGCTTCTGGGCTACGTAGCCACACGGGGTAAGCGGCATTCCAAAGGGCGTAAAAATAATGGCGGAAATACTTCGGTCATTTTTTTAGGTCAGATCAAAGGTCGGGTCACCAGAGGTCATTAAAGGCAAATTTTGTCTATTTCAACAATTTTCGAAACATCCGACGCATAACTTGGGAACCAACAGAACTACAGAGGCGCGGAAAAGCGCATTCGATAGCTCTTTCACAGGTCCTTCTGAGTTTTATTCACAGATTTAAAGGGACCATCCCACCTTAACATTAGTTTTGAGTTGAGATAGCCAAGTTTGCGGCCAGGCTCAGAAACCACCATTTATCCTGGTCGCAACCCCCGCAGCTTTATGGTGTTCAAGAAATTTCTTCCCTTTACTTGCAGGGTGGGACCAGCTTAGTCCCTATCTCTTAACCATTAGCGGTTTGTTGATGACGTCAGCAGTCATTTCAACGCCCGCCATTCCTTGAACCCGAGTTTTGCTGACCTTGAGCTCTCTTTTTTATCAACGTGAAATCCGTCGTCGGCGCTGAGAAAGCCTATTGCTTTTCATTTTAATTTGAATATTAGAATATACCCACCACTGGAACTTGGACTGATATTATACCAAGGCCGAAGATGATCAAGCTGCCTGCTATATCTGGAGCTTGGTGTTCAACTTCAACATGGAATGAAAAACAAAATATCAAAGCAAACTGGATATGGTACTGCAAGTTTAAGTCCAAAGAAATTTGAAGAGCTGACAATTGACATTAATTCTTTTCCCGCAAGGTTTCCATAGGAGATCACACCATGAAGAAAAATTTTTTGATGTTAACAGTTGAAAGGGGATTGATCTTCCAGTTTTGACGAAAGACGCTGCCGACTGTCTTTGGAAAAGGATGTCGGCATGAGGTGCAATTGTGCTTGTGAAGTGGTTATAACTTGTCTTTTCACAGTGTTAAATTAAATGTGCCATTGCAGCCAAGTGTGTTATCATGTAAGGTAAAATCAAAACTACAATGTTGGTTTTACGAGCATTGAGAAGGCTGGTAGGTAACACCTGCCTGTGCTCGTAAATCATGCTGCCAAAGTATTCTAAATTAATTTTATCATACACTTTTGTTGTCCAGAATGGTTGCACTATTGTTTGGTATCATATTATTCCATGTACATATGGTAGTGTTAAGTCCGACCAACATGTTACCAGATTTGAAGCTGTTACGTTACCTAAGTACCTACCTGTTTTTTTTTACTGGCGTGGTGAATGTCACCTGGATTTTGTTTTGAGGTGCAGACCTAGTAACTCTGACTACATGGGTTTGAAGCTATTATCTATTCTGTTTTTACTGGCCTGGTGAATGGCGACTGATGTTGTCCGTGGATGGCACTGAAACAAATTTTGAGTGTCAACTGCCATGTACAGTGTTTTAATACAATGCTGAGGGCTGAAAGTTGTCTTGTTTAGAGTGGTGAAAGTTCAGGATATGCCAGCCACCATGGTGGGTCAGAGTTAATGTGTTGCAGTCAGTTCGGCTTCGGCAAGCACACGGATGGGCATACGCATCAAGACCTGCTCTGCCATACTTTCAGCCAATTTTACCTAGGCAAGTCTTTTCTTTTTTTCTGCCAAAAGCTATGACATTGTGAATTTCAGTGCTGTGGCCTGTGTGTAGCTTTCAGGAAAGCAATTCTAAATAAAGCTCTGATAAAGTGCATGAAATCACCAATGCAGCCCTCTATTACATTTTCTACAACATCTTACTCGTTCCTTGCATGGAGAGAAAAATGCAACGTTATGAATTCGTTTATTCACATAATTTGACAAACATGCAGTTACCTGCTACTATCACTGCACAAAACAGAGCAGAAAACATCAGTTGATCAAACACAAGACACAACAGAAGTTTACAACATAGGCCTGCCGAACCTGCTTCCTCCCATGAGTCCCACCACAGTTGATGCCATTTCCTAGCCTGGCTTGATGTGAGCACTGAATAGCTGCTTTGTCTAATTACAGCTCACTACCATTCAACTTAAACTACTCTCTTTAAAGTAAGAGTGAGAGCGTTCAGTGTTCATAGCAGCTCGAGAGACGACAGACAATAAACATCTTGACAAACCAACCAGTATTTGATTTGGCTAATGATTTATGTGCCTGTTGTATCATGGCCAAACTACTTTAACAGCAATAATCCCTGTTTCATCTTGATCTTGCTTTTAATTCCATTTGAACTCAGATCTTGAAACAATCATCTGAAGTGATATCAGACCTACTGGCTTCTCTTGAAAGCAAGTTGATAACAACAACAATGATAAACTAAGGCAGGAGATGTGAGTTGTGGCAGTAGATTTTTGATTCAACATATGTCAACCTTATATTGCTTGAGACCTCTGTGACAGACAAACAAATATTTATAGTTTTTTGATAGTTTGGATTCTTGGCTTGATTTAGCAGATCAGCTGTGAACCTTGACTTTGAAATCACATAAATGTCATGGTACCCGAACGAATCCTCGCATGACATTTCTTCGTCCGCATTTCTTCGTCTACAAATCTTCGTCGGTGCATTTATTTGTCCATCAATGCTTACTCTTGCATATATTTGCGTTGAAGAAGAAATGCGAGCCGATTTTCATATACCCTGATGCGAGACAAAGTAATGCGATACGAATAAATGCCCTGACGAAGATTTGCAGACGAAGAATTGCGATACGAAAAAATGCCATAAGAAGAATTGTCCTGGAACCCTTTGTTGGCCATCATATATTGACCTTGATAAGATAAACGCATCATTCGCGCAATATTTGTCGCACTTTGATACCAAATTATTGCTTCCAAATGCCGACGTAAAGAAAACCTTTATGTGACGTCATAGAAACAGCGGATTTCCCAAAAAGTAAACAAAAATAAAAGTCTTA